CAACCGACGGACTCGGTTTAGTTTGAAACTCGAAAACCCATAGGCATGTATTTTTTATGTCCAATTGGTGCAAGTGCCAATTCTGAATAGTATGTAACAACTAACGTTGTTCGAATTATTATCATTTTGGCCACTAGAGAGAATGTATCTAGATAATCCACACCAACTGCCGTGTAAACCCTTTACAACCGGATGGGCTTTATACCTTTTTAGAGATCCATCAGCTTTATACTTGATTTTGTATACCCATTTGCATCCCATACTTTGTTTAACAGACAGTAGATCGTTGAGTTCCCAAGTATGATTGTCTTGCAAAGCCTTGATTTCTTCTTCCATAGCTAGTTTTCAGCAATCATGCTTAATAACTTAATGGTAAGTGATAGGTTCAATAGTAATAGAAATACTAACACTAAAGATCTTATGAGGTAGTGAACGAGTTAAAGTAGGATAAAACATAGGATAAAAGGTGTAGAGTAGAACTTGTGAGAGGAAGAGAAGCACAACCAGCAGAGGGCAAGGCTTAAGACAGCTTGACTTTGCAAAGAACAATGGTAATTCGAAGATATGTAGGTGTATTTTTGGATCATGTTGATCGTCTTGGAGTTAGGGAAAGAGATTCTAAAGATAGAGTTATGAAGGAAGGACATGAATAGATGAGATGGGTGAGCTGGTGGACATAGTGGAGTCTATGAAATTATTTAACAAAGGGAATATAATAGGGATAAGAGTGTGGAAAGAATGAGGAAAGTTGATGCATGTGTTCGGGAAAGGGTGATCAATAAGGGTGTTGGGAAGCACAAAGTCCGGAGAAGAAGCAGAATGAGTAGAGAATGGAAAAATATGTTCATAGAAGACAACATCCTTAGACACTAAGATATTGCCATTATGGAGATTGTAGAGTCTATAACCTTTAGTTGCAGTAGGAAAACCTAGAAAAATACATTTGGAAGCTCCGGCATCAAGCTTGGCTTTTTGGACAACATTAGAAGAAAAAAAAAAGACAATCGAATACCTCGAGATTGGTATAAGTGGGAAGTTTTCCAAATAAAAGCTTAAAAGGGGTTTTATTGTTCAACACAGTGTAGGGATTTGGTTGATTAAATGGTCAACATGAAGAATACAATCCGCCCGTAAAATAAGTAGAAGACTAGCTTGAAATCTAAGAGCCCTAGCAACTCGTCAGTATGTGTTGATATTTTTGTTCAACAATACTGTTTTGTTGAGGTGTGTGGACACAAGAGGTTTGATGTAGAATGCCTTTCGAAGCAAAGAAAGATGGCATATTAAATTTTTTGCCATTATCGGCTCTAAAGGTGAGAATTTTGATGGAAAATTAAGTTTCAACAAGAGTGCATAAATTTTCGATAAGCTTTATGGCTTCGATTTATGCTTCATTAAGAAAACCCAAGTAGCCTTACTATAGTCATCAATGACAAGTAAGAAAGTATTAATAACCAAACAAGGAAAGAGTTGTCATAGGCTCCCAAATGTCAAGCATAAACAAGCTCAAAAAATTTTGTAGAACAAGAGAAACCGATGGGAAAAGGAAGACATTTTTGCTTTGTATAATGGCAAATATCACAAGTGTGCAATAAGTGGTTTTAACAATAATATCTTTACAAAAAGAATGTAAAGCGACCAATCTAAAATTGAAAAGATGACCTAATCTATAATGCCATACATCAAAGAAACTAGTAACGGTAGTACTAGAAATAGAATGAGAATAAACACTTCAAGGAATTGAATTAATCAATAGATATAAGCTATGTCTCTACTCAACTCGTACCAACATCTTCTCGCGATTAATGGTCCCGTATAACATAAAAATCAGAATGAAAGAGTAAGGAGCATTTGGAGGTTTTAGTTAGTTGACTAACCGAGATAAGATTGAAGGAAAAACTAGGAACAAAAAGGGCATTATGCAATGTAGTGTTTTAGAGACCTTAACTATTCCAACAACCGTAACTACAACTTGTTGATCGTTAGGTAGTTTGACTGAAACATGGGAAACTGGATTATATACATGGAAAAACTCTAAAGAACAAACGATGTGGTATGTAGCACCAGTATCTAATATCCACAAAGGTTGATTAGGAATGACAGATCCACAAAAAGAAGTATAAGCACTCGTCATAGAGGAAAAATTACTAGACAAAACATTGATACCAATTGAAGCAAAATACTAGGAATGAGGTTGAATTAAAGCTAAAAGTTTGGAGTATTGGTCGAAAGTGAAGGAATGTTGTATACTACTAGAGTGCGTAACCAACAACATCGAAGCAGTAAGTTGATTGTTGGGAAACAGATTATCGAAGAAGTATCAAGAATCGCATACACCACATCATTACCACAATTCTCAACCTAATTAACAAATCCACTTTGTTGAGGTTTATCAACTCGTTTTATAGCCAGGTGGAAATCCATGCTTCCTATAACATTTACCCACGATGTGCTTTTGAAGTCCATAAAACACACATTGAAATTTTGACTTCCTATTGTAGATTAATTTCCTCAAGCTGTAAAAACCACCTCTTCCAAGAGAAATAACTCTACCAGTAGGTGAAAATTTTCAACCGAGTAAGTGAAAAATTTCTACCACCATGGGGAGAAACGATCTTATTAAAGAACACAACACTAGGATTATTAGAATTGCTAACATTTTGTGCACCAAAGCCTACAATCACTGGCATTCATATTGAATGACCATGCCAAACACTTTGTTAATAGAGGGCAAATGATCTACTAACAAGATTTGCGATCTTACAATTGTAAAATTATCATTTAAACCCTTCAAGAACCCGATCACATAATCACAGTTCTAAAAATTCTTAATCCTTTTAAAGGCTTTATAACAACATCGAGGATCACAAGTGCAAGTGAGGTATAGTCCTTAGATTTGAAAACTCATCTCATAGTATTTTTCAAATGTGCAAAGTATCGAGTAATAGAAAGTAAACCTTGTTTATAAGAATATTTCTCCTCTCGAAGCTCCGCAATTCGAAGTAATCACCATGAGAGAAACGATCGTGCAAATCGTCCGATCGTCCATGACAGTATCCAACCAAATCACACTCTAAGCAATCTCGGGAGAGAGAGATGGAATGAGCCAAGATGATACCATCATGTTGCATCGCCCCAAACCGAATATAGAGGATCGTACTTTTCCGGAACTTTGATAGTTCCATCAACAAAATGCAATTTTTTCTTAGAGAGCAAAGACATCCTCATAGATCGATGCCAAGAATGATAGTTAGACTCGGTAAGTGAAGGAGAAACCAAGTATAAGAGAGGGATTTTCACTAGTATGAAGAAAATAGGGATCGAACATTTGTTCTTTAGGTCTCAAACTTGTGAAACTCATGTGTGAATCAACAAGAGGTGCGATCATTGTCGATTGTAGAGATAAAAGAAAGTTTAGTTGTTTGGTCTCTCAAAAAGAAAACTCAAGAAAGAAGCTCGAAGCTCCGATACCATAACGGAATCGTAGGAGAGAGAAAATCATCTTAGCTCCTTCTCTCGTTTCTTTGTTTATATATAACAATAATAACATTTGAAACTAACTCAAAACTAACTAACCGATTTTCTTAAATTCCCTAACTAACCCCGACGAGTTAAAGAAGTGTACAACACATGCGAGGAAAGTGGAAACTAATAAATGTTAATAAATTTGATGGTAATAATTAATGTTAAGCAACAAAGCCATTTGTCTTACATGTTATATCCTACTTTTTAAAGTTTTGCATTAAAAAAAAACTACACTAATTTGACAGGGTGAAGCAAAATCTTTTATTATTTAAGTTTTTTTAGTTTATCGAAAAGTTTATGGGTTTTGAATTATACAATGAAGAGTAATTTTTTTTTTATATAATAACTAAATAAATTAAAGTAATTAATTATCGGATATATAACTCTTAGATTAAACACACACACACACATATATATATTTGATAATCATATATCAAACATTATGCAAGCTTAAAACATAAGTTGATAAAATAAAAAACTTTGTAACATAAGGAAAATGATTTAATTTTTTTTATATATAATTTAAAAAACCGAAAGCAAATTCTTCTTAGATTATGGGGAGAAATTGAGAATGATTTGAAGGATTTTGTAGTGTCGAAGTAACATTTTGATCCTTTAAGGATATATTTGGCAACTTAATCCTTTCGAGTATTGAAGTAGGACATTAGCAAAATTAGACAAATTTGCTCGCTAATGCTCGGGCCAAAGAAAAATAAAAAGAAGGCTATTAAGAAATCCGAGAGAAATTTTATAATACAATAGCAAGTAATTAATGACATCTATAGTAATTACTTTATGAGCTCATTTTGAGGAGAGCGATAGATAAAAAAAAATTATATGTATACTCATTAAAAGTGATAAGAAAATTTTTACGTCTACTTAAATTTTTTTATTTTCTCTCTTCTATTTTTTTTATGTTAATCTCTCTTCTAAATAGGTCCGTAAAATAATTATTGTACGTACTATTAATTATCGGTAATGTATTATAAAATTTCTCCAACTCAGAATCCAAGACGCATTGCCCCAAACGGTACTCACTCTTTACCTTTTCACGTGGCGTTAGGACAATCAGGACATCATCCCATCACGCCCTTTTCGTGACACGTGTATTACACATATAGAGAAATTTTTCAGGGTACCAAAAATCTTATTAATCTTTTTCATAAGAATATAAAATCCTTAAATTATTTTTACAATAAGCTTCCTATTTAATGTAAAAACAAAATACAGTTGCGTGTAATGATTTTTCACACCTCTGCTAAAAAGTCCTTTGTTCGCCGACTCCCGCGCTCGTGCCTTCTCCCTAGCCCCGCTCACGTGCAGACATAGACGTGTCTTCATCTCCTCCTCTCTGAAGTCAACTCAGTCACTAGATCCAACGGACCACAAGCCACTATAAGTACACAAACGTTCATAACAGGAACTTGAAGTTCAGCTCTGTAAAGACTTTTTATCAGGTTTTGACTCTAATAACCATGAAATCTGTTCTATTGAGAACCGGTTCAGTTCCGATCCAATCACTGGTTCGCTCCGGTTCACCTAAAATCTCTCTCACGCGTTGCGATTCAGTGACAAACTTCTTCTCCGGCGAGAAGACCGGAGTTAGTTCTCCGAGAATTTCGCTGCATTTGGATAATAATCGCCGCGGGAGTGCAACTCCAATTCGGAGGGCGCTGTCGGAGAGTGACGTCATCAGATCGGAGAGAGAGGTTTCCGGAGGGCTGACGAAGCTTTCCGGTACTGGTTTGCAGTCTTTTCCGGCGATAATACCAGAGGAACATGTGTTTGGGGACAGTGTGGATGATTGCGCTGGAACCTGGCAGAAGAGCGGGATTCCGTTGGAGGAGCTAGGTTTTTCCGGTGATGGATTCGGAAAATCTGACGGCGGACGCGGGGGAAGCAGCGGTGATGATTGGAGAGGCGGTGTTGATGTGAGCAAAATCGGAGATTATTATAAGCAAATGTTGAAGTCAAACCCAAAGGATGCTTTGATTCTAAGAAACTATGGAAAATATCTACACGAGGTATTAAAAAAAAAAAAAACGAGAACATGTTTAATTAATTAGTGAAATGATTAGGCATGCTAATTATTATTGTTATTGTTATTGTTATTTGGGTTAAAGGTGGAGGGAGATGTGGAGAAAGCCGAGGAGTATTACGGGAGAGCAATACTGGCGAGTCCAGGAGATGGAGAGGTGCTGTCTTTGTATGGTAAATTAATATGGGAAACAAAAAGAGATGGGGAGAGAGCTAAATCTTATTTTGATCAAGCTGTTTTTGCCTCTCCTAATGATTGGTAATTTTCACACCCTCCTCCTATTCTTCAACATTATTAATAATGGGATCATGTGACTGATTTATTGATTTGTTTATCATGTGTAGTATGGTATTGGGATCATATGCAAATTTTATGTGGGAGGCAGAGGAAGCTGATGATGAGGAAAAAAATGATAATAAGAGGGAGGTGTTATCAGCAGCGGCCGTGGTTGCTGTTTTTTAGCAGAGACAACCTCTGATTTTACGTTTAAAAGAGGAATCATGTAACTAACTTGAATAATTAACAAGAAAAATAAGAAAATCAGGGTAATATTACTCTATTCTTGTAATCTAGAGGAAGCTACTTAGTTGAAGAGTCTGGAAGTTGATAGGGAGAGAAATATGGGGTTTCTATTTGTTCGTGTTCTTTTGCTTGATGTTGTATACTGCAATTTGTCCAAATCTAATGTATCTTTTTCTCATGTCTATTGTCAAATGTAAATATGAAGTATATCAGTGGTGTTTCGAAATATAAATTGGTTGAAATTTTTTTTTTTTCATTTCTGGCCTTGATATAGCTTATTAGAAGTTATATACGTGCGAGTTGATCTTAAAAAGATATATTATAAGGTTTTGAATAATTGTGATACATTAATTAGAAAGTCAACTAATATTTATATAGAACGAAGAGTCTTAATTTCTTTTTCCATTTGCATGATTTTCTTATGCAGGGAAATTATGAGGTTTTTTTGAAGGGTGCTAATAGGTTTGTGAACGATGTCAATGCAGTTATTGACATTAAAGATAGTATTTAGAGCGTGATCTAGGAACCAAATACGCGAAGAAATATGGACAGTGATGATAGGAGTGGTGAAGGCAATGGTATAAGGTTTAAAAATCCTATAATATCTTATCCAACCGACAGTATTGATTCAGATAGTAGAAAAAATGATTTAATAATATAGATAGTTGTAATGGAGAATATAAAGAGTAAAAACTCCCAAAATAGTGGGGGACATATTTTTTAAAGGGTAAAGGTAGGATATTTGTCAGATGAGATGGTTGTAACTAGCTTTTATTGTAAAAACTGATGCTCCTTGAAACATTTTGGTGCTAAATATCATATACATAAGACTTTAATATTACTCATGAGTTATTAATTTTTTTAAAAATTAATTCTTTTTAGGTGTTAAAAAGATTAGTAACAAGTGGGGTTTATTTTTAATGAAAAAAACAATTCTTCATTTTGCATTAAAATTGAAGGCATGTGCAAAATTAATGGATACATTGACTGTGGATAATAGTGAGGGTTAAATGAGCATAATCTCAATAGATGAAGGAGTCAATTATAATAATTAATAGATGAAGGACTCGATTTGAATATTCATACTTGTTTGGGGGCAAATTTTTCCTTGCCCCGTGTTTCTTCAGGCCAAACGAGCTCTCTTAATGAAACATAAAAATCATGACATTTTCATCCTAGCTATTTGTTGAAGCTTGTCGGTTACCCAGAACTGGATACCGTTATGGCACCTTCTCTTTTTCAATTAGAGTAATTATATGCTCGTAGCTATTGATATGTATACGTATGAAGTTTAGATAGGGCCCACCTCTTGTCAGCTTGTTTTCCCCCATCAATAGTTGTCTTCAACTGTACATAGTACTGCGAAATAGATAGATTGCAGAGAGGGAGGGCTAGCTTCTTGTATAAGTAGACTTATGGCTATATATCTTCTATTTTCAAAAATTAAATAAGGGTAGGCATTTTCTCTCTCTTTTCCCATTGTTGTAATAGGGAAGCCATTTCTTGTGCTAGTATATATATCGGTTCGTTTAATTTGAAAAGAAAGGGAGAGGGACGCGGAGAAAAGAAGAGATCTAGCAACAGTACATGATGGTGATACAAAGATTAGAGATGTGCGTAGCCCTGGTGAAATTGGCTGTGGAATTTATCAAGGCTGTGGCTGAAGCAGTTGGGATAGTGATTCAGCAGAACGGTACAGCTCCACTTCTAGTAAGCCGTCCTTATATGGTTCCAGTTCGTTTTGCTGTTTTTTTACCATGAAAGTCGATATATCTGTATCGTCGTCCAGTTTCTTCGCAAGTAAGCATCTTCAATTTCAGGTTGTTTTCTTTCCTTTGTGCTTATATGTACATATGGGAGAGATCTGTAGTTAGTGAGAGATAATGCCTTCTTTGTAATTAAATTCGCTATGGATCTTAGTTTTGTTACAGTTAATCAGCAACTATGTTGATAATTCAGTGTCTGTGCTATCTTTAGTAGTAATTAATGTACTTCTGTAATTAATTTGGATTTGCTTGCTTCAAAATGGTTTTTCTGCTACGTCATGTATTTTTCCAAGGACATTAAGTAATGATTTACCCATTTTTCTTCATTTTAATTATGGGATATGTTTATGAACAATTTACACAATTAAAAAGCTATTCTAATTGTAGAAGTAGGGAGAGAGGAGGAGGAAGAAGAAAAATGGAACACCGTAGAGATTGAAAATAAGTGAAGCCAAATAAGGGACCTGTCATCCTCACCCAGGAAGCTCCAATGACAAAAATTTTGATGTTGATGTATTGGTCTTTCCCAATTATTTGTCCGATAATATCAGTGGACGCTAGGCGGATAATTTGTTATACCTCTAAAAAGTGCAACAATGTTATTATTGTTATTTTTTTATATATAATTATGGAATGAAGAAGAGTTATTTTCTATTATGTAATCCAAAAGTTCATAAACTTCGGATGAATTAAAAAACAAAAAACAGTGGATTTCATGCCCGTGATCACCGTGTCTAAATTTTCAACAAAATAACTTTTTTATCAGACTAAGCAATTTAAAATAGGGAGCATTAGTTAAATATCTATGCTATGTTGCGATAAAACAACTATTGCATACAGAGAATTAACGATTCGTATAATGTAGCGTGAGTAGAAGTTTTATTCCAAATGATTAATGTAAATTGAATTTATATATTGAGCGAAATCATTTGATTTATATATATTTATTAACCAAATATTTAATAATATTAGCATAAAATTTGAATTTAAATAATTGAAAGGCCCTTTCAAAACATTATTTAACTTATTTTATTTTTTTAAAAAAATTTAAATATAAAAAAATGAATAACAAATAATCGGTATCATGTGTACAGATATATAGCTAATTTCTAACAAAATTAATGACACACACACACATATCATACTTAACGATTTAGAATATATAAAATAAATAGAAAAATATATATAAAAAAACCATCTAAATTGTATGAAATATATTGAAGTTAACAGATTAAAATAAAAACTACAACAAAATTGGTTTCAATAAATTTTGAATAAATATATATAAAAAAGCAAATAAAAATTGTGAATTCTTTTAACTAATTATTAATTTTTTTAAAAAAAATGAGTCAAACTATTTAAAACATACTTATCTCTCTCTCTCTCTCTCTCTCTCTCTCTCTCTCTCTCTCTCTCTCTATATATATATATATATATATATATATATATATATATATATATATATTAAAAAAATAAAACACCGACGTTTAAAAATTTTATTTCAAAATTCATATATTAAAAAACTAAATTTATTAACAAATAAATTTATATCAAAAAATTAATTTGATAAGAATTTTAATAAAAAAAATAATTGAAAAAATAAATTTAAACAATAAGAGTATGCAAAAATTAATTGGATATATATATTCTATCATCTTTAAACTATACACAAAACTAAAAAAATAATGATTTATTTTTATTTTTTCACACCTAATTCCATGATATATATATATATATATATATGAGAGAGAGAGAGAGAGAGAGACTAAAAAGGACAGGCGCACTGGTTGGCTTGTGCAACCAGGTTGCATATATATAGAAAGAAAAAAAAAGGGCCACGCATGGTTGGTCCGTGTAGCCGTGGAGGCACTCTTGGGCTTGCAACCCAAAAAAAAAAAAAAAAAAAAAACAAACCGTTTAACTTTCGACGAATTCTAGGTCACCGAAGCTTCGTCGGAAAATCAATGATCAAGTTTTAGACCTTTAGAAATTGAATTCCGGCATCATTTTTCTCCGGACACCCCTAAATGACCGAAATAAAGTCAATAAACACATCTAAAACCTTAAAAATCATTTTAATGTACACCAAAACAAAAGAAAAATACACAATCAAATCGAAACTTTTTTTCTTCTTTTTTGGCTCCGATCTACCTCCTCTAATTGTTTGATGACTTGCAACCATTATGGATAAACTCATCTCTAAAAGATAAAAAAATCTAATGGATTTTCATCGAACAAAGTGATCTAAATAAGCTTGGCCTAAATAAGCTTGGTCGGTAATCTCTCTCCTCCTCGTCTCTCTCTTCTTTCCTCTCTTCTCTCTATACTTAGGGACCAAAATGTATCAGCAATTGAAGATATGAATTGAAAGGAAATATTCAAAAATATTAGGGACCAAAATATAAAAAGTTGTATAACTTTTGTCCACGAAAGTTCAAAAAATAACAAAAAAAACCAAGCTACAGTAAATGAATAGTCTACACCTTAATTCTTTTAGTTTTTTTCTTAATTGAGAATATAGAGAGTAAAACTTCCAAAACAATGTGAGACATAGTTTTGAAAGGGTGAAAAATAGGGCATTTGTCAAATGACTTAAGGGGAGGAGAGGGTGATATGTTAAGGACAACACTGCGGGGAGGGGGAATGAAGAGGAGGGAGATCATTTATAATTTATTTCAGAAGACAATAAAGATAGTAGAAATGAGTATAATAGTATATTGGAGTTGGATGATAATGCAAAATTGATTGATGTCTCATGACTTGCCGATAAATGATGATAAAGAGCTTTAGAGAGTTAAAACGTGCTAGGAGTAAATATTTCTATTATCAGTTGATAGTACCCAATCAAATAACAGAAGACTAGGAAGAAAAAGAAAATCTAGAACTATTCATCTGGATGACACAACCAAGTCACTTAACATGACTCTTACTAATAAGATTGCAAAGTTCTGTATAAAAAACTTTAGAAGCATTGCTTTGAAAATGTAAACTATGAAGAAATTATTGCACCAAAATATCAAACAGATTTTGCACGGCCCATGACATTCTTCTCTCCATCCAAATTAGAGTTTGAATCCGAGATTTGTGTATTTGGTGAACTACGAGTTTATTATTGGCCACATGATTCAGTGTAAGAAAAGCATTAATTCCTCAGTAGTCAAACCCCACAACTAGATGCACTTTTTTTCAATAAAAATTCGAATCGCCAAGAAAAGCAATTCTAATTGTGGGATTAGATTCCCAAAATATTCCTAAATTAATAAACCGACATTGGGCCGCAGGTTTAAAAATAACGTTTGGACTTTGGAGGCCCAACTAAACCTTCCCCCATTATAACATCCCTTGATCCCAACTCCGCTTGACCGCCTCCCTCCTCCTCCTCCTCCTCCACTCAAAAAACAATGGGCAGAAAGAAACAGAAGGAGCCAGACACCGCGACCACGCAAAACGACACAGTTTCTGCTCCTTCCGACATCTTCAAAACCCTATTCAGCTGCGCCGATGAAACCGCCGCTACCCCCTCTATTTTCTCCGATGCCAATCCTTTCAAAAGAAAACCCGAAGACCCAAAATCCAACGAAAACCCTAGCACCGATGTCGATACCCAAAACCTTAATTTCAACGAAACTACAGTGAAACTAAAAATGGTGAAAACCGAAAATCCCAATTTGGGTTTTGAGCCGAAAGAAGAGAGAACGTTAAATGAGAGTGAAAGAAAGAGGAAGAAGAGAAAAAGGGATGATCTTGAGAGCGAATATGAGGCTAAAAAGTATGGTCCAGTGGTAGATAATGAGGAAAACGTGAGTGTTGTGGTTGGGGCAAAGAGGAAAAAGGCTGATGATGAAGCGAATGTGTTGGTTTCAAAGGAGAGTGAAGGGTTTGACGATGAAAATAAGCTATTAAGGACTGTGTTTGTTGGGAATTTGTCTTTGAAGATGAAGAAGAAGGTACTTATTAAGGAATTTAGTAAGTTTGGGGAGGTTGAGTCTGTGAGGATACGGTCCGTGCCAATTGCTGAAGTAGGTGTACTTTGATTATGATGATTGTGGTTTTTCTTTTGTTAATTGGTGTTGTATTTTGATGGTTTTCTTTTGTTAACTTTCTTTTTGGGCAGTCCAAGATACCGAGGAAGGGGGCTATTTTGTTGAAGAAGTTTAATGATAATGCTGACAGGTATGCTGTTGGTTCCCACAGATATTTCAGATTATTTGCTCGATTTCAAGTTTATTAATTCTTTCGGCAATTAAGGTGTCATAGATTATGGATTTGTTGCCTGCATGTTGTTTCAGGACGTATTTATATTCTGATAGTTAGTTTTGATATCCATTCTTTAGACTTCTGAAATTCTAGAATTGAACCTAATCAATGTTACCATATCTGCTTATTTTGTTCATCTGATGGAAAATTTTTAGCAAGTACTTGTTCCAACTTTCATGGTTTAATTCAAATTCCTTACATAATCTATGATCCCTAGCTTTTCCATATCAGAATATGGAAAGGAATTAATTAAATGTTCGAATGCAAATAGGTCATACACATGGTTCTTCTATTGATTAAATGCATCAACGGAGTCTTGATGTGAATGATCACTGTGAGAAAAAAAACGATGCCTTGGCAATTAATAGAAGAGAAACTAGAAAAAAGAATGTTGATCCTGAGTTATTATAGCTGGAACAAAATGACGATCCATTTCCATTGCATGCTTTGTAATATAATTGCCATATATCAGCTTTGAGTTGCATAACTAACAAAAAAAACCTGATTAATCAAAGTATGTACTTTTAATACTGAAGGTATTCTAAGCAGTTGACTGCTGGGATCTTGGCTTGCCCATAAGGGGCTTCTGTTTAATTAAACTTTGTGTTGTGATTTTGGTTGATTCTTATATCAACTTCTATTTATTTTCATAGCAATATGACTTTCTGACGAAGAATACCATGTGTTTCAGTGTTAATGCATATGTTGTTTTCAAGACTGAGCAATCTGCAGAGGCATCTCTCTCCCATAATATGGCTGTGGTATGTTGCATTTCCGAAAGCTGGATAATCAGCATGGTTTTGATTAAAAAATTGATGTTATTGTTTTTTTAATATAGGTTGGAGGAAATCACATTCGTGTAGACCGGGCATGCCCACCTCGCAAAAAGTTAAAGGGTTTGGATGCTTCCCTTTATGATAACAAGAGGACAGTTTTTGTCGGTAACCTCCCCTTTGATGTGAAGGTGATCAACTGTCCTGTGATTTCTTAATGTGCATTCCACTTACTCCCTGTATGCATTTCTTGTTGGCTAATTTTTATCTTATCTGGATATGTCTCTTTCTTGTCCCTGCAGGATGAAGAAATTTATCAACTTTTCACTGGTATTAAAGATCTTGCATCCAGTATTGAAGCTGTTCGAGTTATTAGAGATCCTCATATAGGTCTGGGAAAGGGCATTGCCTATGTGCTGTTTAAAACAAGGGTATGTTGCATTGCTTTTTGATGCTCTTTTATATCAATAATTTTATCATTGAAATCTATAATAATGTGTTTTCCTCTGTTAGCACATGTCCTAACTCTATTTAATCTGACATGACATAACCATTGAAGCTGATGTTCTGATGAACTGCCCGCTTGTAATCCATATTTGCAAATTTAAGGTTCTTGGCCTTAATTTAGATCTTAAGTTATATCAAGTTGGACCATTAAATTATTGGATTGTATGACATGTTATCCAGAAATAGCCCAATTTAAAAAGAGAGGAGCATATAGCACATGACTGCAAAAGTGTGGTCTTCTCTTTATGTATTTTCTTCTCATATTTAAGAGTGGCAAACTATGATTTACTCAGGCAATGGTCTTGATGACTTTCTTGGTAGATTTTGTTTAATCTGGTCCCGACATGTACAATTGGAGCTTTCAACCATTACTTGTAACTTTGTTGGAGTCTGAAGCTTCTACTTGGAGTTCTTGAAATTTTCTTGCTTTGGGAATACATTTGTGGATGGCATGTTAGACTAGCAAAGAACATAGTAAGGGTTGGATTTTCATATAGCTGTTTTATGATGAGATGCAAGGAAGTGAAAGGAAGAACTTTACCTGTTTATGTGTTTGGTTGATTTTTTGTATGCCAGGTTTTTTTGGATCCTCTTTTAGTAGTTTAGAATTCTCTTGTTTAAATTTGGGTTGCTGAAAGATTTTCTGCTCAAGATGAGCATAAATTTCATATTAATGCTTTATTAGTTTGCATAGTGTATTCAAAAAATCCTCGTTGTCTGTCCTAAAAGACTATCAAGTTCTGATGTGATGGCATGCAGGAAGCTGCAAATTTGGTGATCAAGAAACGAAATTTGAAACTTCGTAATCGAGAGCTGAGACTATCTCATGCCAGACAGGATTCTACCCCATCTAAGAGAAAGAACTCATTTGCTGAAGAGAGAGCTAATTTGCCAAACAAGAAGTCAGCACCAGATTCAAGGACTCCTGACCATAAGAACAGGCCAGATACAAAGGCTACCAAGTCCTACCAGGGCTTGCGTGCCAGTAAATCTGGTGTGGAGAAGAAAGTCCATACTCTTGCACGTTCAAAACGCGATGGAGCAGCTAGGATGAAATCCAAGAATCCACAAGGAGAAAAGCGTCAGGGGAAAAGACCAGCTGTTGCTCTAAGAAAGGCAAAAGCTGCACTCAAGGATGGTGGTGCTTCTGGACCACCCAGGCAAAAACGCAAGCTAGATAGCTGGACCCCAGACAGTTCCAACAGAAAGAAGAAAGCCAGGAAATTTAGGTAGGAAGAAATGCCTTTGTATTGTGGGCAATCTCAAAAAATGCAAGACACCACCTCTTGCAAATGGGGATGTTTTCATACTTGTTCTAATTTACTTCATAAATTCTTGTACAAGTGTGTTATGTTTTCTTGAACTTGGATTTATGTTTGATTTCTATGAATTTTGGAGCGTTTTAAAGGTCGCTAGTCGCTACTAACCACTATAAGGATGATGGTCCCTGGACTTCATTGTTACTCTGAACGAGCTAGGATTGCTCTTTTATGACTTAGCCTTGAAAATTAACTTCAGAGGAAACTAAGACAGGAGTAGGGATTATGAAGTTATGGTCCATTAGAAGAAGGGAGCGCCTTGAAAAATAATGTGGATGATCCAGGGCAACGATTGACCTTGTTCTATCCCTGGCATGCAATGATTAGCCGGAAAGACGCCATAGGAGCTGGAATGGTGACTTGGAGGTTCAGCACAGCAGAACTCGAGCTCAAGCCTCGCACAAAGTCGCCCAGAAGTCGGAACAGACAAGCAGCAAGGTAAGAAGGGAAAATTACTACTGTTGAGTTCCCTTTTAAAAATAAAACAAGCATTATGTTTATAGAACTTTTAATTAACCAACAAGTTAATCTTTTAAATTCTATTTTCAAGAAAATTCAATTTTTTTTTTGGTACTCTAAAATACCCTTCTAAATAACAAGTGTACATTTAGGGATTATTGTTCTCTTCTATAAGAGAACCGACCGGATTAAAGCTTAATCTCATCTTCTTTGTCCTTTCTTAATAGATTCTTCGACCCTTGTTCTTGTCGTATACTTTTCGTCATGGTTGAAAAGGAAGAAAATGAAGAAAGATGATTCAAAACGTAAATAAGATGCATTCATCACACTTAAACCTATTTTTTATAAGAATTTGTATAGCCTATCACAAAAATCACCAAAAAAATAAAAAGAAAAGAAAAAAAGAAAAACTGCCTTAATGGAATAAAAATACAAGTGAAAGAATAATGAACTATAACAATATAAAACACAAGTTTAAGAATCTAATAAAAAGAAAATAATTAAGAAATAAAAGTTTATATTTATAAATTCTCTATAAAAAAAAAAAGAAGAAAAAAAGTAAGACAATCGCGTGACGTTTAGTTCATAGAACATAATTTTTCTCATGTAGAGTATTTTTATTCCAAGGAAAGAGATTCCTAAGAATTTGTCATTTTTTATTTTTGTTTAAGGATATAGAATTCCAATAAAGTTATCATTTTATTCAATTAAGAATTCTATAGTATTTGAATGAAATTACAATCTTATCCTTTATTTGCTTTATCAGATAATAAATCTTCACTCATATGTAATCTAGTATACAAAGAAGGAAAAAAGAAAAAAGAAAAAAAAAAGAACTCGTGGATACCTAAAAACAATAATATTGCAAAAAATATGATATATAAATAAATGAATGAACAATACCAAGATCATGATATTAAAAACCAACCAATATAATAATATGATATATAAAAAAACTAAATTAATAATTTTTTTTATAGGATTCATTTTATCAAGTCATGTAAATAATAAATTAAATTTAGGATATTTTTTAAATATATTATAAAGAACGAAAATAAATTCGTAAGATTACTTATATTGAACTAAGAAATTACTTTCCTCCCAAAAGGGGAGAGAGTGAAATTCAAAAAAGAAAAAGAAAAAAACAAAGAAGAAGAAGCTAGATTTAAATCAAACATAATAATATAAATCCTAAATTTCCGACTAATTTTCTCACCCCCATACCGTTAAAAGTACATAGATTTAGGAGAATATGTTAGGAAATTAACGTTTAGAACTCATTGCTCTTTTGCTTCCCAAAGCTGAAATTATTAGTAAGTTTCCAAAGAAAAAACAGTGCCAGCCCCACTTTTTTCCTTTCGCTTTAACTTGGAAAACAGTATTGGGTGCATCATAAATTGGTTAAAATAACATTGCAACTCTGATAGACGCTACAGCATGAGAGAACCATTTTTGTAAAAAACTTTTAACATGTCTTGCAGAAAAGATGTACATAGCTTTGAAATTGATGACTTTCATTCTAGGCATTCAAACTATACAGGTTATCACCCAGCCCACACCTCCCAGGCCAAGATCATCATTACTGGCATCTGCAGCATTGGCAGTGAAACCCACAAACAGGGACAGGGACAGCTGTGCGTTACATTTATTTGCTATACAGAAACGAAGTGACACCGCAATAGCTGTGCTAGGTGACTGCAGACGCACGTACAACAAGCAAGTATTTCCAGAACAACACTATGATTTGCTCTTGCTCATTAATGTAGGGGTTATAGAGACAGCCCCAATGAGGAATAGAGTGGCAATGGAGTTGAAATCATAAAGATCCCCTATCGATTGCAATTCTCCAAGAGCTATCCCAGCCTGCAGGATAACCAGGTGTCCAATATATTTAGAAAGCAGCTATAACATGTAAATTCTTCATTAATGACATGCTACCAATTCAAAATCCGAACACCTTTGCCATGCAGCTTCACCCCAATTCTGACCCAATTACCCCACATGGCATTTGATTTTAAGATTTGAACCTCTTACACTGCGGTGGCATTTCGTAAAACATTATGGAATACAATCTACATTACATTGTAAATTTTGATTTCAACAAAACATATCATACTCACCTAGAAAGGCATTCTAAAGTGTATCAGACCAAAGCTCATTCAACTTCAAGAGCATTCCTAACATGTAAATTATGCTTTTTCTAAAGTAAATTATGGCATCCACTCCTATGTATTCCAGTAAAAATACTCTGTTTTGCTTTCACAAAGTATGAGTAACACCAGAATGCAGTTAATTTTAAGCATGGTAGATGAAGGCAGATATTCTAAAAAAAAAAAAAACACCCAAGTAAAATACCTTAACAGTGACATAAGCAGCAGGAATAAGTCCAATCAAGGTTGCCAGGAAGAAAATATGATAAGGAACATCAACTATTGGTGAAGCAACATTAATAAATGTATTTGGTAAAGTTGGGGTCAGTCTTAAGAAAAGCATGTAGTTCAACAATCCTCCTCTTCTTCTAGCCACCTGATAGTGAAAAGAAACAACTTTTATCCAGTTTTTCAACAAATATAAACAAAGGTTAGGCAGGACTCAGGAGTCGAGATTCACCTGCTCTTGGAAGAAACTAAGTTTGTCAGGCCAAAGACTGAAGACAAGAGGCCGCCCGATTAGTTTTGAAAGGAAATAGCAAGAAGAAGCACCAGCAGTGGCAGTGAACACCACCAAAGCTACACCTTTAAATACTCCAAAAAGAGCCCCAGCAAGCAATGACATAAAAACAGTCCCGGGGATCATAAAAGTCTGCATGAAAATGTAGACCACAGAGTATCCGACCAGGACTTGTGCAGTGTAATCACTCGTATAAGTTTCAAGGTGATCCCTGCAAAATAGCTTCCACATTACATTATAACATATGGCCAGTAATTATACAATTGCAGTAATTCGAAGCAAAGGAAATATAAGTAGCAAGTCGGAGGAAACACAGAAGCAATATATTTTGATATGAAAAAATCATAGAGTCGGTACAAAATTCCAGTAATATTTTAACCAAGTCTTATCACCTTTATATCTCATGAGATGTATTCATTTATCCCAAGTGGACAGTTATATCAAGTACATTACAAGCAAAATCCAACAATACACTTATCATTAGTTCAGCTTCATATATAGGAATAAAGATTGAACAAATTCTAAGCTTTTGGCTCAACATGCAAAGCAGTAGAAGTTCAAATGTAGACCACCAGCATATGAAGCTCTAAATGCAATGAACCTTCCACAAAATCCTTGATCTGAATAATCCATTTCGGTCACACCAACATGACAAATTATACCCATTTTTCATATGAAACTAAGCAAGCAATCCCTTAATTTACTAAAGTTAATTAATAGATATCAGCAAGTTAAAAAAAGAATCCTCATTTCACTTTAGAAGGCATGGATCTTGATTTTGCTTATGTTTTTATGGCAAGAACACAATTGATAAAACACAGTCAGCTCGGCCTTTGATTTCAGACCCCCAAATGCAATGAGAAGAACAAAATGAACGAAAATAGTTTAAATAGGGAAACAATTTCCTTCTTAACCTTCACAATTTATGACAAACATCAATGATAATAAAAAGAAGGAAAACCAAAAAAAAAAAAAACAGAGAGAGAGAGAGAGAGGAGAAGAAAACCTAAGGATTTGAAGATCTTCAAGGGTACGAGGGAGCTTGAGGAAACTATAATCAGATGCAGGCATGGTTAGGTAAACCCCCAAAAGGCCCAAAACAAATCCCAACACAACAGTGGAAGCAGCAACAACCTCCCAAAAGCTCAAAGGAAATCTGGATCCCGCATCTCCTCCTTTCCCCTTCATCTCTCGCAAACTCCCTCCTTTTCTTTTGCTCTCTCTTTCTCTCTCTTTTGATTTTTTTTCCTTCGACGGAAAGAGAGCGAGAGAGGGGAGGTAAAGATTTAAATAAGTTGAGGCTGCTTTGCTTTTAGGACACTCCTCTGTTTTGTGTGTTTTAGGTTTCTGTTTCTCTCTGCCCTATATTTCTTATCTTATGACGCGGGGGAGAGAGAGAAAAACAGAGGACAAGGAATATTCGCTGGTGAGAGAGAGATTAAATCCAAAACTTGCGAGAATCGAGAAAAAAATTGCACATTTGTCGTCCGTCAACAGTCGTCGGTGGTCCTCGTCCACCGCGTTTCTCACCGTTCTTCTACTTTTTTTTTTTTTTTTTTTTTTTGCGTGTTTGCGTATGAGCTAGTGAGAGGGAGGTGGTCACGCCATGGCCTCTCTTTTGTACTACTGCAATATTTTCTCCTCTTTTTTTTTTCGTGTTATTTTTTGGCTCAAGACTTTTTATTGAAATCTTATTTTCTTTATTCATTTTATTGTACAGTTGAATTTACAACCATAAAATAAAGCATTACTAATTTATGAAGAAAACACATGTATTAGTTATCTCTTTTGCAAGGTTTTTTTTTTTTTTTTTTAAAAAGAAATTGCAATACTTTTCTTCAATATTGAAGACAAATATTACATTCTAAAAGTAATTAAAAAAATTAAAATTCATCCGAAAATTGAAGCTTTGTAACTAGAAATACCTCTAGAAACATTAGGCAAGTATTACCAAGAATTGAATAACCAATAGCTCGTTGGAAAAAACATAAAAAATAGGGTCACGTTGCATGGCTCTAAAGTCTAAGCTTGTAGATAAAAAAGTAAACGCAATTCATTTCAAGTTTTCATTTGCATTGGGTAAATTTTAAAGAGACCATTCATGCACCAATCAAATCTCTATCGCTGTCCTCTTGATTGAAAAAAAGTCTAATGAGGATAACCCACCTTTTTTCCTAAACTTTCTCCCATCTATGCGATATCTTAAACTTTCTTTTGGGAACACAAATAGAAAGAGAGAAAAGATAGCAGCACAGCATCAAATTAAGCAATAATGACTCATTCATTCGCATCTCATTGCCCCTAAATATATAAATTGAATTAGGGATTAAGGAGGAGTCATAACATAACGCATAGAGTAAGAGATTAATAAACACGTGAGCCATGAGAAGCACGTGGATGGTGGGAAACGGCACGAGACAGAGGGACAATAATCATTGACATGCGTCAAAGGAGGCATGTGCGCATCTCTCTGCTTCCTACAGCTCACCTCGTTACTAATTTGGATTCACATCTATTTTATTTCTATTCTAATTTCTAATTACCAAATTATCCTTTTTGTTTTTCCCATGTATTTGGATTTGGAGCCACCCAACTAATAACTAGTCCGTTCTTTCTATTTTTATAATACAATATAAATAATTTAATGAATTTCTTTCTTTTTAATGCTAGTTAATCACAATCATATTAGAACATCTCTAATGATGCTCTCTATTTTTAGTTAATATTTTTAATACAAATAAAGAGTACCATTAATTATATAGATTAAAGATCAATATCCTCTCTAATTCTATTCTCTACTTAACTCTTTATTTTGACAAAATCTATAAAACCCATGTAGACTATTGTTAAGAGGTTGAGTGACATAGGAAATAGTAATTTTCATTAATAAAATATAAGATAAAGAGTCATTTAGATTCGCTAGTATTGAAGAGCTAAAGACACTCTCTATATCAATTTTAAAGATAAAGATTGTGATAAAGAGAGCATTATAGATTGAAATTTAGATCAAACCTCTTTATTATAAAGAAAAATCTTAATATAAAGAGAACATCGGAGATGCTCTTACAGATTGTGCCAGCTTTATAATATAAATATAAAGCTAAAAACATCTAACTATTTCAGAACTTTAGTAATTTGAGATTGACTTTTTGAGTTTTTTTTTTAATTGATTTTGAAGATTGTTGAACTTTTATTTTTTTTTAAAGTTGAATTCATTTAATGATTTTCAGTTATCATTTTTGCATTAAAAAAAAAATCAAAATTTTCTGTATTTTGATTTGAAATTTTACACGCATATTGAAAAAAATTCAATCTATTTTGTAGAAAAAATTCTAAATTTCTCAAAATAAAAAATTATATTTTTTATATTAAAAAAATATATAAAAAAATTAGAAGCAAAAGAATGACAATCTATAAGGGTTTTGTTTGCTATATTAGGAGCAGTTCAATTATAAGCATTAGGAACAGAAGCAAAAGAAACTGATAATGGAAAACAGAGTTGCCTAATAACCTTCTGAAGAAAGGTGTGAGTTTCACTAAAATTGAAAGAGTATGAGTTAATAGCTTGAGGAAACGGCACGAGACAGAGGGACAATAATCATTGACGTGCGTCAAAGGAGGCACGTGCGCATCTCTCTGCTTCCTACAGCTCACCTCGTTACTAATTTGGATTCACATCTATTTTATTTCTATTCTAATTTCTAATTACCAAATTTTCCTTTTGTTTTTTTCCCACGTATTTGGATTTGGAGCCGCCCAAGTAACAACTAGTCCGTTCTTTCTATTTTTATAATACAATATAAATAATTTAATGAATTTCTTTCTTTTTTCTCTGTTTGAAGTATATTCTGGTCGATTGGATTCTGATGCTAGCTAGTCACTATCATCTTACAGTTGTGCCGTGTTTCTGATATAAATATAAAGCTGAAAATATCTAACTATTTCTAAACTTTAGTTTTCTGAGACTGAGTTTTTAAGTTTTTTTTTTTTTATTGATTTTGAAGATTGTTGAACTTTTAATTTTTTTTTAAATTTAATTCATTTAATGATTTTCAGTTATCATTTTTTGCTTTTTTAAAAAATCAATTTTTTTGATATTTTAATCTGATATTTTAGGCACATGTTGAAAAAAATTCAATCCATTTTGTAAAAGAATTCTGAATTTCTCAAAATAAAAAACTATATTTTTTATTTTTTGAATATTAAAAAAAATATATAAAAAAAATAGAAGCAAAAGAACGACAGTCTGTAAGGGTTTTGTTTGCTATATTAGGAGCAGTTCAATTATAAGCATTAAGAACAGAAGCAAAAGAAACTGATAACGGAGAACGGAGTTGCCTAATAACCTCGTGAAGAAAGGTGTGAGTTTCACTAAAATTGAAAGAGTATGAGTTAATAGCTTTAATCAGTATTTGAGCATTATCTTCAATGAGAAATGCTTGATGAAAAGAATTAGGAACCCACACCACGATGAAATGGTGACAATAACCATTGAGATTTGCCGTCACTCCTAGCCATACTGCGACCAACTTCCTGCTGGAAACCTGACCACTTGACCTTCTGGTATTTAATTAATTGAATAATTAAAACCATTGAGATCAAAAGCTATTCTGATGGAAAGTAAAAGGTTCTGGCAATGCCCAATACATTAAGTCTAGAAAAACTAGGTCCAGTGGGCTTGTTGGTCCAAAACTTAGGAAATTAGTTGGTCTCCTCAAATTGAACCTCCATTTCTTATGCCTCCAACCATGGTGTCGAAGACGTAAGCTACATGGATCAACTTGTGAAGTGGGATACAACGGCCGATAGCTTGTCAAGGGGAGGAATCTGTCCAAGGAGAGGCTAGTATTTGATCTTTAAGCTAGCCTTTTCTTTTTAGAATGTAATCAATTTGCTAGCTGGTGAAGTGATAACTTATCGAGAATATTCTAAAAAAAACAGAAAAAAAAATTATCAAGACGAGAGAAAATTCGTTTGTAATTAGTCGTATGCCCTTGCATTGCACTTCGAGAAACAATTTTGACCATTCAATTATGCGCATATAATCAATTATTTGATGATTTAATTATATTATCGTAATCTCATTTGCGTATTATCGTAATAATTATAATTATGTTTATTTGAATTATTTTTTATTGGGTTTAAATAAGAACAAGCAATCTATGTGTTTTAACCATGAAATATACTTTAGAATTGCATATGTTTACCATTATATATTGATAGATGGTACTAAGCTAATACATACAAGCTGTTTTTGAATCATAGGTCATTTTGATGTACACATGATTTATTAAAAAAAAAAAAATCAACTTCGGAATTGTTTTGATTGACATCTCTTTTGTTGCATTCCATTTATTTTTTCCATTATAGCATATGACTTACATATATTTCTTTATAAAACATAAAATTAGCCAAAAACATTAAAAATAATCAACTTCAACCAATTATATTAAGACAAAAAAAAAAAATCATTTATAGTATTATAAAATTTTCATAAAGAAATAAATCCTTGACAATTTTATGACTTTTTGATATATATATATTTTTTTAAAAAAGAAAACATGTGATATCTAACCATTAAATTGGATGGAATATAATAAAAAGAATGTTAATCGAAATACCGTATAGTTCGAAAAATTAAATTAAGAAAAAATAATATTACTTTTATTACAAGTTAATCGATGTTACTATGAATAAACTTAATACAGTAGTTTCAATCATTGCTTTGACGGGGATAGGTATGTTCATCAAAATTTCTCAAGTGACATAACGCCCTCATTTTTCGAAAAAAACTCAGCAACTCATTGAATGGCATTCACACATATGTATATTTTAATTGGTATCTTACCATCTCATCGTGTTTATGCAAAGATGCCCCAAACTCGAACGTTTTTAGATTAGATTGAGGAATGTTGATATTAAAATAAAGACCTCATCCTAATTACTCTACAATTAAGAGCATCATCGGGTTATAGACTCATCAGACGATGCAGCATCTTTTCTACGAGAATCAAAAGTGATTTTTTTGTTGATTTTTTTTTCCCGGTTTATCATGTTTGGAGAATCCACGTAAAAAACGAGGGACAAATTTTAGATTTATAAGCTATTTCCATTTCAGTTCAAATGTTTGGTTTGTATCAATCAGCTCTTAGAACTTTCATTGTTGTCTCGATTTCTTCATTCTATCC